TAAAAAAATTAAAATATGACAGCAATCTTAGAACGTCGTGAAAATTCTACCCTAGGGGCTCGTTTCTGTGAGTGGCCCCCTTCAGCTGAGAGCCGCCTCTACATTGCTCGATTCGTCGCCCCATCCTGCCCCATACCTCCCCATATCTCCCCATATCTCCCCATATCTCATACCTGCGAGTTCTCCGGCTCGAGGTCGAGGCCTAAGCAGCGCCCAGAGACATCGTTTGAGGGGCGGCCACAGACCACACACCGAGAGACCACTCTCCGCGCGGGAAAGAGGGGCACAGGCCTCGCATGCACGCGTCCCGCGCCGCCTGCAGGTCGCCCATGCTCAGGAACGCCGCCGCCTGCCGCGAGTAGCCCTTGGCCCAGGTCGGCTGCAGCCGCACGCACTCGTTCGCGTCGCGCAGCGCGCGCTCGAACTTCTCCATCGCCTGTTCACAGCCGGAGGTGTGAAGAGACGCGGCTCACGCCCGCAGCGCCTGCTCGAACGTCTCCATCGCCATGTACGCGGCGGCGCGGTTCGAGTAGAAGACGTGGTTCTCCGGGTCAAGTTCGATGGCCTGCAGGAAGGTTCCGAGAAGGTTCTGAGAAGGTTCGAGTAGAAGACGTGGTTCTCCGGGTCAAGTTCGATGGCCGACGAGAGGTGCTGCTCCGCGCGCTTGAAGTTTTGGACGTTGAACGCCTCGATGGCGCGCTCCTGGGGGAAGAGGCACAGGAGAGGGTGAGAGGGGACGGAGGAAGAGAGTCCACAGCCAAGAGCAGCCACGGCGCGCTCCTTGAACTCGAGCGACTCCTCCTTGCGCTGCGCGATGGCGTCCATCACGAGCTGCAGCTCCTGTTGGTAATAATAATAATAATAATAATAATAATAATAATAATAATAATAATAATTCCATCACGAGCTGCAGCTCCTGTTGACCATCAGTCACGGCGGTTAGCAAGACCATTCATCAGTGACAAGGAGGGAGATCACGGGCAGCAGCGCCTGCTTTGTGCAGCGGACGTACGTCGCGTTGTCGCGGTCGAGATCGAGGCCCTGCAAAGGGGCAATCGCTGCCGTGGTGGGTCGAACCAGCAGAGGGCAATCGCGAGTAGGACAAACGAGTGATGATATTGCTCTTCCGAGATACAGCCGAGGTGCGCGGCCCCGCCTGCTCGAAGGCGTCCCACATCTCCCCACATCTCCCCACATCTCCCCACATCTCCCGGCATCTCCCGGCATCTCCCGGCATCTCCCCGCCTGCTCGAAGGCGTCCCACATCTCCCCACATCTCCCCACATCTCCCCACATCTCCCCACATCTCCCGGCATCTCCCCGCCTGCTCGAAGGCGTCCCACATCTCCCCACATCTCCCCACATCTCCCCACATCTCCCGGCATCTCCCCGCCTGCTCGAAGGCGTCCCACATCTCCCCACATCTCCCCACATCTCCCGGCATCTCCCGGCATCTCCCCGCCTGCTCGAAGGCGTCCCACATCTCCCCACATCTCCCCACATCTCCCCACATCTCCCGGCATCTCCCGGCATCTCCCGGCATCTCCCGGCATCTCCCGGCATCTCCCGGCATCTCCCGGCATCTCCCCGCCTGCTCGAAGGCGTCCCGCGCGCCCGCGAGCTTATCCATGCGGAAGAGTGCGGCGCCCTTGCGCGAGTACCCCTTGGCCCAGGTCGGCTGCAGCCGGATGCACTCCTCAGCGTCTGCCAGCGCCTTGTCGTACTGCTCGAGGGCCTGTTCACAGCTGCAGGTGTGAAGAGGCGCCGCCCGTGGGCGGCCGCCCCCGCCCGTCTCTTTGCCATGTACGCGGCGGCGCGGTTCGAGTAAAAGATGTGGTTCTCCGGGTCCAGCTTGATGGCCTTGCGCAGCAAGTCGACGGCGCCTAGAAAAAAGAACTACGTCGATCAAAAAGAAAGCGTCTCGAGGGCCTTGCGCCGCAGCTCGACCGCGCCCTTGTAGTTTTGCTCGTTGAAGTACTCGATGGCGCGCTCCTTGCACTCGAGCGACTCGCGCTGCCGCGCCATCTTCTCGGCGATCGCATTCATCACCGCCTCCAGTTCCTTCTTGAGGGCCTGAGCAGACAAGGGGGGCAGGGGGAGTGAAGAGACGCCGTTCACACCTCGCCCCTCCGACAGCGGCCGAACCCGCTGTCCGCGGCAGTGGAGGGGAGAGCCTCTGTCGCCCGGGTCAAGCGTCGGCTGCAGCTCGGCTGCAGCTCGGCTGCAGCTCGGCTGCAGCTCGGCTGCACCTCGGCTGCAGCTCGGCTGCACCTCGGCTGCACCTCGGCTGCAGCTCGGCTGCACCTCGGCTGCACCTCGGCTGCACCTCGGCTGCACCTCGGCCGCACCTCGGCTGCACCTCGGCTGCACCTCGGCTGCAGCTCGGCTGCAGCTCGGCTGCCTCTCGGCTGGGTCTCGGCTGGGTCTCGGCTGCCTCTCGGCTGCCTCTCGGCTGCCTCTCGGCTGCCTCTCGGCTGCCTCTCAGCTGCCTCTCTGCTGCCTCTCTGCTGCCTCTCTGCTGCCTCTCAGCTGCCTCTCTGCTGCCTCTCAGCTGCCTCTCTGCTGCCTCTCTGCTGCCTCTCTGCTGCCTCTCTGCTGCCTCTCTGCTGCCTCTCTGCTGCACCTCTGCTGCCTCTCTGCTGTCTCTCTGCTGCCTCTCAGCTGCCTCTCGCCTCGTTGCCCGGGTCGAGCTCGAGGCCCTCCTTGAGCACTGACTCCGACTTCTCGAGCCGGCCTGCAGCGGGGTGTGGAACGGCGACTCGCAATCACGCACTCCTCTCCGGCCGTGGCTCGAGCGGGGCACCCGTCCGGAAGGAGACGGAGCCGTGGTGTGAGGTGGTCGGGGCTGGTTTTGTTTGGCGCGGCGTGGCGTGGCGTGGCGTGGCGTGACATGACGCGGTGTGACGGACCCATCCGGAAGAAGACGGAGCCGCGACGCAGGTAGCCCTTCGCCCAGTTGGGCTGCAGCCGTATGCACTCGTCGGCGTCCTCCATCGCCTTTGTGTAGTCCTCGAGCGCGATGTGCGCGGTGCAGCGGTTCGAGTACAGGACGTGCGACCTAGCAGTCGCCGCGGAGGAAGTGTCGAGGAAGTGTCGAGGAAGGGGGCAGTCGGCCAGAGCAGAGCGGCGGCGACCTATTCCCCACGGTGAGACCGCGTCGCCCGACCGCCTCGCCGGCCCCGGCCTCGAGCAGCGGGGGCATGCGGCACTTTTCGTCGAGCGAGAGGGCGACCGTGAGGTGCTTGACGGCGCGCTCGTACAGCTCCGCCCGAAAGTCGTCGATGGCCACCTCTTTCAGCGTGTCCACCGCCGCCTATGGGACATGTCAGGGAAGTGTCGTGGACATGTCCACCTCTTTCAGCGTGTCCACCGCCGCCTTGATGGTCGACTCGGGGAAGAGGAGCATCTTCTCCGCGTCGTCCGCCTGAGAGCCGGAGGGAGGGAGGACCAGAGGTGACCCGAGGTGACCCGAGGTGACCCGAGGTGACCCGAGAGGGCCCGAGAGGACCCGAGAGGACCCGTGGTGACCCGAGGTGACCCGAGGTGACCCGAGGTGACCCTGCCCGTTTGAGAGCGCCAGCGAACCGAATCTCGGGTACTCTCGGGTACTCTCACGCAATCTCGGGGAATCTCGCCTGCCCGTTTGAGAGCGCCAGCGAGTCGAAGCCGCCGTACAGCGACTTGGGCAGCTCCGCCAGCAAGTCGCCCGCGTTCGGCACGATCGCCCCGCCGCCGCCCTGCGACTGCGCGCCCAGCCGCGCGCAGTAGAACCCGCCTCCAAACTTGAAGCACCTGTTCACAGCTAGAGGTGTGAAGAGACGCTGCTCCCCCGGCAGCGGACGCCCGCCTCCAAGCGTGAAGCACTCGTCGTTCGACTTAGCCGCGTCCCACATCGTCATCAGCGTCGCCTCCTGCACGCCCAGCACCTGTTCACAGCCTTCGAGCTGTGAAGAGACGCCGTGCACACCCCCGCGACCCGCCCCCGCCGCTGCGCTGCAGCGCACGTCCATCGCGTCCGCCGCGTTGTACACGACTCCCTGCGCCAGCGCCTGCGGCCACGTGAGCCCGAACTTTGCCGTGAACTCGGCCTGCTTGTGCTTGGGCGGGTGCAACTCGACGGGCTTGCTTAGCACGGCCTGCCGTCATCAAACAGCGGAGTGTGTGAGTCGACGAATCAGCTCTCGCCGCAGCTCCGACAAGCTTGCGCGGCACGGCCTGGTCATTCACAAGCAGCGGAGCTTCAGTCAGCGGAATGAACTCGCTGCGACCCAAACGGCGTGCGCAGCACAGCACAGGCCTGCCATCAGCAAACAGCGGTCTGTGAATTGATGGACCCGCCGCAGCTCCGACAAGCTTCCGCGGCACGACGGCCTTGGATGCGATCGCGTAGTAGTGCTTGTCGACGAGCCTGCCCTGCGAGATCTCGTCCGCGGAGATCGACCTAATTAATCGATGATTAAATATTAATTAAGTCGACGAGCCTGCCCTGGGAGATCTCGTCCGCGGAGATCGACCTAATTAATCGATGATTAAATATTAATTAAGTCGACGAGCCTGCCCTGGGAGATCTCGTCCGCGGAGATCGACCCCTCCGCCACGACGGCGATGGAGCGGTCCCGCAGCAGCGACTTGACAAGCTTCTTGACGCCTAGTGCTGGGACGGAAGGCCCTCGGCAGCAGCGGAGGAGGCGGCGGCGGCGTGAGCAGCTTTGCTGGCGCCGTCAGTCACGGCGTGCGGCTTGATGAAGAGGAATGCCTGAGGAGTGGTTAGTCACTGCTGATTAGCTACTGAAGGCCGCGTGTGGAGAAGTGTGTGTGTGTGTGTGTGTGTGTGTGTGTGTGTGTGTGTGTGTGTGTGTGTGTGTGTGTGTGCGTGCATGCGTGCGTGCGTGCGTGCGTGCGTGCGTGCGTGCGTGCGTGCGTGCGTGCGTGTGTGTGTGTGTGTGTGTGTGAGTGTGTGTGTGAGAGAGAGAGCAACGCCCGCCTGGTTGGTCGAGAAGTCGGGCGCGTCCTCAAACGGGTCTCCGCCCAGCTTTTGCGCCTGTTCACAGCCAGAGGTGTGAAGAGACGCTGTCCACAGCCAGCCCGTCTCCTCCCAGCTCCTGCGCCTTCTTGAGCATCGGACCGATGGAGAGGTCCTCGAAGGCGTCAAAGACAGACACCTGCTCATCAATGACCAGCTGAGTCACCAGCAACACAGACAGGTGCCTCGGCGCCGTCAGTGACGGGCACCATGTTCCCGTCCCCCACGTCCACCTGCGGATCCTTGGACCACTCGCCTAGGAGAAGGTTCGGAGAAGGTTCGGAGAAGGTTCCGAGAAGTGTCGACCTGCGGGTCCTTGGACCACTCGCCTATCGCCAGCCGCCGCCCCGCAGGTCAAGCCCACCCTCGAGCGCGCCCCATCTCCGCCTCGCCAGACGGCGCGCGAGGCCGCCCGCCGCTCCCATGTGACTTGTCCCGGACAAAGGAAGCAGTGCAGGGGCAGAGGGGGCGCGGGCACGGCTCGGGTGCGTGTCGTGCGGTGGCGGCGCTGCGCGGCTTGGCTGCGGCGAGGCGCGCTCCGCCGCAGCGGCGGGAGGGTGGTGGTGGGGGGAGAGGGTCGCAGGGGCGGGTGGGGCTGCAGCGGCGGCGTAGGGGGCGGCGGGCCGAGCGCTCGCCGATTCGATCGCGGCTGACTCCGGCGGAGACGATGGCCCTGGCGGTCTCGTCGGTGTCGAGTGAGGCGCCCAGCCAGTTGAGCCGCTCGACCAGCGCCTCGAACGGGCTCGCCGAGCCGTGCACGCCGTTGTCGCCGACGTCGGGCTTCGCGACGAGGCCGAGCGCCGCCCAGTCCTGCATGATCTGCCAGCGCATCGAGCCGACGCTGGCACGCTCCGGGTCAGTGGCGCCCAGCACCTCTCCTCGGAACTCGGCCCACGACATCAGCGACGAGTCCCACTCGACCGAGAAGTAGTAGACGGAGGCGCCTGGCGCCGTGTACTTTCTCCGCATCGAGCTGTAGAAGCCGTTGATGACATAGATGTCGTCGGCGGGAGCCATGGCGGGCGCGGGGACGCCTGAGGCGGACGAGGGGCGGTCGGCTCGCCGTTTGCGGGCAGAGAGGGCAGAGGAATCTGACTCGCTTGAAAGCACCCTCGACGGCGGCGAATGGCGTCGGCGTGCAGATGGGAGGGCGCCTGGGTCTAAATTTAGTGCGTGTGAATGAACTTTAGTGATAGTTTAGTGCGCTATTTAGTGCGTGTTCGAGTGCGTATATAGTGCGACTTTAACGCAAATTTAGTGCAAATTTAGTGCAAATTTAGTGCAAATTTAGCACATATTTAGTGTGTTTTATCTCCAATTTAGCGCCACATTTAGTTCACTTTAGGTGCGGGCAGCTGCAGTACATTTAGTGTGGGTCCCGCATCTTTAGTGCGGGCACGCACCTTTAGCACGGCTTCCCGGCCACACCACAGCTAGCCAGGGCCGCGTGCTTTGCTCCTTGGCTGCCAAGAATGCACCACAGGAGATGCCTGGCCCCTGCCCTCATGACCCAAAGGCAGGCTCCCAGTGAGGCTAGATATGCCGCCCTCCAGAGCAAGATCTCCCGACTGAGCACAGGCACAGCACCGATTCCCGAGAGGAGGACCAGCACAGTTGAATGCGCCACGCTTCCCGGCAATCGTTTTGCCGCTCGGCGGGCCCGGAGAAGCAGCCCGGAAAGCACCTTTTAGGCTGATATCAGCAGGTTTACTTCGCTCGGTTGGGGATGGGACGGGGAACTTTTGCGAGTGGGCAGGGAACTGCAGGGGGAGAGGGGGAGGGAGGCCCAGGGAGGGGCTGCGGCTGGATCCTACTGCGCGGCTGGACTAAAGACGCACTAAACCTCGCTAAATCTGGATGTAAAGTCGACTAAATTTGCGCTAAATTTGCGCTAAATTTGCACTAAAGTTGCACTAAATTCGCACTAAATTCGCGCTAAAGTGCACTAAAGATGCAGTACATAAACACTTCACACCGCACTAAATTTAGACCCAGGCGCCCTCCCAGATGGCAATTTAAAAATTTGAGTTGGCCTTGGCACCAGCCTTGGCGGGCGGGCACGCGGGACATGCACAGGCGCCAAGGGGCGCAGCGCCGACAATCACGGCGGTGATTGCGGCGCAGGTGGGGGGACGGGAAGTCCGTCGGCGTTGCCGGGGGCCCAAGGAAGCGCGAGGGAAAAATTCCGCCGCTGAGGGCGCTCGTGCGGGCGGCAATAGCCGGGTGGAGGGGGGAGCGTGCCGGACGGGGCGTCGTCGCGCCGTCCGACGGTCTGCTGCCGCCCCGCGCAGCAACCGTCGGGCGACGACCCGGGGGCCAAAAACCCGGCGACGACGGCGCTCCGGATGGGGCGTGACCTCCTGCCTCCAACCTCCTTCCTTTTTGAGCAGGTGTGACGCCGCGCGAGCGACGCTCCGAGATCGCCCGAGATAGCGCGGCGCGGCGGTGGGTGAGGTGGGGTGGGGTGGAGAGGCGTGGCGTGGAGCTCCGAGATCGCCCGAGATTGCGCGAGATCGCCCGAGATCGCGCGGTTCTGCGGTCGGCGAGGTGGGTGGGTTGGGAGCGAGGGGGCGGAAGTGTTCAGTGCGGTAGATGGCGAGCTCGAGGCGCGTGAGCCGGACTTGTGAGCCGGACCACCCCCTCTTGTTCTCTGCGTTGTTGAGCCAGGACTCAACATACTCGGGCTCGTAATCCCAAACTGTCACTCCCCTTTCTCCCGGCCAGGGTGGGGCGCGCGCGGGGGCGGCGCGGGTGTGCGGCGGGTGTGAGGGATGTCTGTGAGCCCGAGAGCGATATGCCATGTCCGCCTTGCGTTTGTTTCATAACATCGAAGGCTAAGCTCATTTAAAAATAATGGTCAGGACAAAAGCGGCCAAAGGATATCCACCTCGAGAACCTCGAGAGAGTACACGGTCGACCCTTGTACGTGCCTGTCGGTGCTACTAGAATGTGGCACGGGCCTGTGAGATGTGCATGCACCCTCCGCTCCAAGTGCGACACGCTAAACCCCTGCGCTCCTTCGCGCCGCCTTCTCACACGCCTCGCGGAACGCCTCAGGCGTGCGCGAGGAGTAGGTCCACAGAAGTGACCGCGAGACGCCAAGCTCGTCGCACAGCGCCGCCCGCGGCTGCAGTCGGTCACTCAAGCTGTAGCCCAGCATCACCGTATTCGACACGAGCTTGTGTCTCAGCTCGTCGTCGGACAGGTTGGTCTCACGCTGTAGCCAGTCGATCTTCAGAAGCAGGTTCTCGATGCTCAGGCCCAGCACCGTAGGCATCCTCAGCACCACCTTCTTGAGCTCCGCCTCGCTCAGCTGAAGCCGTGACTGCAGCGCCGCCAGCGACGGCAGCACATTCGCCTCGGTGCTGTAGCCCAGCACCGCAGGCAGCCCCAGCACCACCTTCTTCAGCTCCGCCTCGCTCGGGTTAAGCCGCTGCTGCAGCGCCGCAAGCGACGGAAGCACGTTTGCCTCGACACTGTAGCTCAGCACCGCAGGCCGCCCCAGCACAACCTTCTTCAGCTCCGCCTCGCTCAGGCCCAGCCTCGTCTGCAGCGCAGCGAGCTTTGGTAACACGGTATCGTCGATGCTGTAGCCCAGCACCGAAGGCAGCTGCAGCACCACCTTCTTGAGCTCCGCCTCGCTCAGCTGAAGCCGTGACTGCAGCGCCGCCAGCGACGGCAGCACATTCGCCTCGGTGCTGTAGCCCAGCACCGAAGGCAGCCCCAGCACCACCTTCTTCAGCTCCGCCTCGCTCAGGTCCAGCCGCGACTGAAGCGCCGCAAGTGACGGCAGCAGGTTCGCCTCCAAGCTCAAGCCCAGCACCGGAGGCCACCTCAGCACCACCTTCTTCAGCTCCGCCTCGCTCAGGTCCAGCCGCGACTGCAGCGCCGCGAGCGATGGGAGCACGTTGGCCTCGACGCTCAAATCCAGCACCGAAGGCCGCCTCAGCACCACCTTCTTCAGCTCCGCCTCGCTCAGCTGTAGCCGCGACTGCAGCGCCGCGAGCGATGGAAGCACGTTCTCATCGATGCTGTAGCCCAGCACCGAAGGCCGCCTCAGCACCACCTTCTTCAGCTCCGCATCGATCAGGTTAAGCCGCTGCTGCAGCGCCGCAAGCGACAGGAGCACATTCGCCTCGATGCTGTAGCCCAGCACTGCAGGATGCCTCAGCACGATCTTCCTCAGCTCCGCCTCGCTCAGACCCAGCCGCGACTGCAGCGCAGCGAGCTTTGGTAACACGGTATCGTCGACACTCAAGCCCAGCACCTGAGGCAGCCTCAGCACCACCTTCTTGAGCTCCGCCTCGTTCAAGCCCAGCCTCGCCTCCAGCGCGTCGCACATCCGCTCCGCCCTCCATCTAGCTGGCTCGTTGAGCAGCCTCGCCTCCGCCTTCTCCGCCTCTGCAGCAGTGGCGCCCAGCCTCTGGACGCAGACGTCCGCGACAGCGCTGTACGCAGCTGCCACGGCGTGGCGTGGCACGAGCGCGGGCCGGAGCCGGCGTGTCGTGGCGATTAGTGTGCGCGGGGAGGCGGCCCACAAGCGAACCGCCATTTGTCTATCGCAAAAGAAATTTGGCGGTTGTGATTGGGGCGGTTACAAGGCTAAAACGAACCCACAGCTCTCGGTCCCTACATAGCTGGAGCCGAACCCACCACTGCCATAGAGGAGTCGGTATTCGAAAGCGTGCGAGAGACTGTTGCACGTCAATGCAGCTCCTCCGCTCAGTCCGCCCTCCGCTCGCGACCCGTCTCGCACTGCAGCATGCGGCTCTGCTCGGCGGCATGAGCCACGAGTTTGCCGCTCTAGACGAGCCGGAGCTGCAGCAGTCTCTCCCACGACACTGTGCCACAATGAAGGCGTACCAGGCAGAGCTGCTGGCGTGTGGAGCCGCCAACAGCGCCGCGCTCGCCACGGTGTTTGGGCGTGCCGAGGATCACGGCGCCGACCGTCTCCGCTCCGTCGTGTGGCCCTGGCTCGAGCCGCTCGCCGGCGCTGCTGAGGATGAGTACGAGCACCTCGGTGTGTGCCTCTCTGCTGCACCGGCTTCGTACCAGCTCCTACCACCTCGCCGACCGCACATCAGCCTCCGAGCGCCTCTGGAGTACCTCTGACCGCCTACCTGACCTCTTGCCGGACCTCCACCTCCACCTCGCCGTCTCGCAGGCTCCGTCTGGAGGCACATGGCGAGGGACTGGACGGCGGGCGGGGCGGCGCAGACCGGGCATCTGCGCGCGGAGGTGCTGAGACTGCTGCGGGGCGAAGGACTGGCGAGCGGCGCAGGGGTCCCGCCTGGAGGGGAGGTGCTGGTGTTGGGCTGCGGCCAGGCGAGGGCGGGAGACACTTCCGAGACCCTTCCGAGACCCTCCCGAGACACTTCCGAGACATCGAGGCGCCAGTGCCGGGCTACGGTCACTCGGCAGCTCCTGAGACGCCTCCGTGCGTCCGCGGCCAGGCGAGGCTAGCGTGGACGATTGCGTCGGGGCTGCCCGGCGCTCGCGTGACCGGCTCAGAGGCGTCTGAGGCGCAGCTTCGTGGTTAATTCGTTGAGTGAGTAGTCACTACTCCCCACACAGGCTTAGAGGCGTCCGAGGCGCAGCTCTCCGCGGCGAACTTCTTCCTGCAGTGCGCCGAGGAAGAGCGCCTCGCCTTCCACCCCTTCCTGCACGAGATGAGTCAGCAACCACTGCGCGTCACCATCGGATAGGAAGAGCGCCTCGCCTTCCACCCCTTCCTGGACGAGCCTCGGTCCAACCTGCACGCCGCTGCCCGCACCGCCGCCCTCGCTGCTCCCGACATAGCGCCGGCAGCGCTGCCTCGCGTGTCGCTCGAGCTGCGGAGAGGTTGCACCCTCTCTGCAGCTCCCCTCTCCACACCTCGCCCAGCTGCGGACCTCACCTTCTTGTTTGCGCGGCCCACAGGTGACTTTCTGCAGCTGTCGCCGTCGGGCGAGGAGGCGCTGCGAGGGAGCGGACGCCGTCGTGGGAGTAGCTCCTTCCCGCCGAACCGTGCCGCGAGCCTTCGCGGAGCCTTCCCCACAGGAGCGACGCCGTCGTGACGAGCTTCTTCCTCGACTGCGTGCCCGGCGTGGCGGACTCCCTCCGCTCGATCCACGCGCTGCTGCGGCCGGGCGGGCCAACTAGCGGGCCTCTGTCTGCCCGGTGTGAAGGCACGCTGTTCACAGGCGGGTCCGCTGTGAACAGGCGGGCTGTGGGTCTTTGCCGGCCCTCCAACCCACCCCCCTTGCAGCCGATGCCAAGCAGCCATCACATCGACTGCGTTTGTCCTCCAGGCCCCCTCGCCTACCACTGCTGGCCCCAGCTGTGCCCTACCCTCGACCAGCTGGTCCGCCTCTCTTGCAGGCAAAATTGCGGCCTGTGTGAACGGCGTCTCGTCACACTTTCCTCTCTCCCCTGTGAACAGGTCGGCCTCGCCTCCGAGGTCGGACTCACGCCGCTGGGCGAGCCGCGCCTGCTGCCCGCCGGCTACGTGCAGCGGCCGGGCGGCTTCGGCGCGCACGAGCACGCGTGGACGGCGGCGGTCCTCGTGTGCAGGAGGGGAGAGTGACGCGCGGGCGGGGCCTCCAGTGAAGTCTTCCGTGCCAAAAGGAATTACGGGTAAGCTCCTTGGTGGCGGAGCCGCGGGATCCTACGCTGCGCGCGGGCCGCGCAGCGAGCGAACACCCAGAGCAGCAGCACCTCACTCCTCAGTCACCACCGCGCACCGCCGGCCGGCGCATTAGGGTTTGTGGAGAAAGTGGAGCATATTTCAGCATTCAACATCAACGTTCGGACTTCGGTACCCCCCCCCCTTTTTGCTTTTTATCCTCTGCGAAAGACACTACTCTCCCCCTCCCGTCGCTCGGTAAGGTAAGGTAAGGTAAACTTCTCCACAAACACGAGGTGGTGGGGCAACGGCAAGGGGGGGCGACCCTCCCACCCTCGCGTCTCCACGTCTAGCGACAGGAGCCCCACGGCATTAAAAGTGCAAGGCCCAGTGCGCGTGGGTGAGCGGTGTGTGTGTGTGTGTGTGTGTGTGTGTGTGTGTGTGTGTGTGTGTGTGTGTGTGTGTGTGTGTGGGTGTGTGTGTGTGTGTGTGTGTGTGTGTGTGTGTGTGTGTGTGTGTGTGTGTGTGTGTGTGTGTGTGTGTGTGTGTGTGTGTGTGTGTGTGTGTGTGAGGGGGGTGTCACGTCACTGCATCCTCTGCCGGTTCCTCCCGTCGCCTCTTCTTTGTTCGAATGTTTTTCAATCCATCCTTCACGAAGCCCTCCCATGTAGCTAGCGTTCTTTGCGAATGTCTCGAAATGGCCAGCAGGCGCTGTCTGCTCGCGGTCTGTGCGGGCCGCTCGTCCTCCTCGCCCTTCTTTCGTCCTCCCGTCCCTCCCCTCCACCATGGCCTCCTCGGCACTTCTTTCTCCATCCGTCTTGCCCTGCCTTTTCGTATCGTGCCGTTCGCCCCTCCATTCGGTGACCTCCATGGCCGTCCGTCTCCTTTTGGGTGGCGCTCTCGATACGGTTGCGTCAACCTCGACGTCGCTGTCGCCCTCCCCGTCCCCGTCCCCGCCGTCGCCCGTGCCTCGGTTCGCGTCATTGGTAGCGTTTCCGTTGCCCCCTCGTGCCCCGCCGTCGCCCTCTCTGCTCGGGCCGTTCGCGATTTCGCTCCTCCTGCGTGTCGCGCCCCTCCGTCTCCTCCCCTGCCTTCGTCGTCATCGTCGCTGTCGCGAAAGCCCTCCGGTCCCTCGATTCCCTCGCCTATCCCCTCCGCTGCGTCGTCCCAGTTTAAATCCTCATCCTCTGTGCGCGTTGTCGTTCCCTCCCCTTCTCCATCGTTGTCGCCTCCGTCGACTGCGGCGCTGCCTCTTCCCTCGCCTCCGTCTTCCTCGTCTCGCCTGCCATCGTCCCGTGTCTCCTCGTCCTCGCCATCGCCTTGGTCGTTGTCTATTTGTTCATCGTGTCCCCTGCTGCTGGTGGCATCGCCGTTGGCTTCCTCTCTCCGGAGCTTTCCTCCCTGCCCCTCTCGCTGTCTGGTGTTAATGGACCCCCTTCCCCTCCCTCGCCACCGTCACCGTCACCATCCCCGTCGCTACCGCCCTCCATCCCCGCCGCCCTTTGTTTCACACTCGTCTCTGCCATGTCCGCCGTCGCCGCCGTCCTGTCTGCTGCGCTCTGTGCTCCGTGGTACAGTCGCTTATTGTTGCTCAGGATTAGCTCACGCACCAGGGCAGCCTCTGGCTCGTTATTTTGGCTTGCCGATATGCATCCAAAGTTCCACGCTAGCTCCATGTGATTTCTTGGCCTTCCTTGACTCCTTTCTCTGCGAATAGGACCATCACCTGCGCAGCTGCCTTGCCTAATTGTACCTCCTCGTAGCGAACGAAGTGCGTCGCCCGCGTGCCTTGCTTCGGCTCGTTCGATGCTGCTGGCCAGTCGAAGTTAATTTCTCCCAGGCGCGCCGCAGCGAGATGTTGCGGGCACGGCGCAAGAGGCCAACCGCCACGAAGAGCGCCACGAAAAGCGCGGCGGCGGCGCCTACGCATGTGTGTAGCAAGCTTGGAGCCTGTGGACAGAGTTGGTCTATCAGCGGGTTTCATCGCGAGACCGACTGCAGCGAAGACGGCGTGGTCGGCGTCGACGAGCCCGCTCGCCTTTTCTATTCGGGTCCACTCAAGGGTGACGGCGCCGACGGACACCTCTATTGTGAGATGGGTAAAAAGGAACAGGTCTCACCTCCAGCTGCCTGACAGCCACGGTGTGCGCACACCCAACGGCCCAACGAAGCTCAAGCGGCGCCTCCTTGCGGCGGCTGGCTGGAGGGTGATCAGCGTTCCATTCTTCGACTGGGATCGCTTGGAGACGGCTGGTGAGCGTCAAGCCTACATCGAGCGAGCGGTCGGCCCGCTCGGTGTGGCGCTGCCACGGGCATCGCCAGAAGGGTGCACCTCGCATCCAAGCTGCAGCAGCCCCTTGCCAGCCCGGTCCAGCAGCCCGAACGCTAGCCGCGGACAAGGGCCGGAGTACGAAGCTGACAGCTGCGGCAGCCCCAGCGGCAGCCCCAGCCCCAAGGAGGCGGAGTCGGGGAGCTCCCTCGCGGCCGGTGCCTACCTGCAAAATTGGTAATGGTGAGCTTTGTGCCCCTGGGAGCGCTGCGTCTTAGTGTATCTGTCCGCCGAGACTTTCTCTCCGCCCTGCATGGGAACTCGTGTGATGTGAGATACAGATTTTTGAAAACCATCTTCTCTCTCCTCTTCTTTCAGTTTTCTTGCCACAACCCAAGTTCTCACATCATTTGGGCTCGGCAGTTCTCTTTCTTGGACTTGGTTCTTGAGAGAGAACTTATAGCAATACCAAACAACTCCAACACCTAGAGATGACTTGGGGCCTGGAGCCCTGTTCACGCGCGCGCGAGGCGTGCGGACAGGGTTTGTTTTTGGTTCTTGTGAGAGCAGCCAGAAAGTAAGTCAGTGTTACACACGGCCTAGCGCGGACGGGGCATGTGAGAGAGAGATTTTTAGCAATACCAAACAACTCTAACACTCACACGTCATTTGGGGCCTGGAGCCCTGTTCACGCGCGCGCGAGACGTGCAGACAGGGCATGTGAGAGAAACGGGAGAAAAAACTACCCGCGAGAAACAGCGCGAGCTCTATTTTCTCCGCCGCTCCGACTCTTGGAGTCAGTCAGTGGCCTCTTAATTCTTTTGTGATGCCGGTGATAGTACTAGCACGCGCCAGTTCGCACCTGTGTCGAGCCTGGGAGAGACTTGTTTTGTTTAAATTCTTTTGTGATGCAATCGGAACAGTCTAGAGCAACACGCTTCCGACGCTGATGTGAACCAAGCCACCGGGGCACGCTGCACATCGTGTGCGAGGAGGGCGACGGTGAGTTCAAGCCTGCAAGCGCATCGGCGCTGGGACTGCGGTACGCATGTCCTGGGACATAACGAGGCAGCTTCTCCTGCCAGCGGCTGTCGGCAACGTCCAGGGCACACTTCATGTGAGCACGACACGCACGACGCAGCCCCTAAGGGATGCCCAAAATCACGTGCCGGCTGCCTACGTCATCGTGCGTGACTTCCTATCAACCGATGAGGTGCACAAACTGCACGCGTGGTTCGTGGACCCGGTCTCGCCTGCCACTGCGACCACATTTGATGGAGAGCCACTTGACGCTGCTGCCAAGACTATGGAGCCGACAGTCCTCCAACTCTATGGGCAGCCGGAGCCTCTCGAGCGCCGCTTCCCATCGATATTCCAGCGGTTGCTCGCACTCAAGGACGTGGTGGGCCGCGCTCTGGGGCTGGACGAAGAGGAGCTCGACGAGGTCACATATGCGCAGGACGTTCGGCACATTACATACCACGCCAAGCACGGGTGCCCATGGCACGTCGACGACCCCGTCTCTCACTTCAACACGGTGATGCTCCTGTCAAAACCGGGCGCAGACTTTGGCGGCGGCAACTTCATGGTGCATGCCGGGCCGTGCTTGTGCGGCGATGAAGGCCGTCCGCTCGACTTGTGCCTGGGCGACGCCGTCATCTATTCGGCCGCCAAAGTCGACCACGCCGTCAGTGTTGTGACGTGTGGCGAGCGGCGCATCTGCCTCGTCGAGCTGCGCAGGCGCTCGCTCGCGCGGTGTGGCCAGCGCCTGCCACGTGGAGCAACAGAGGGGTTGTGAATTTTCTGTTCGACATACAGGCAAAGAAAGAAAGAAAGAAGAAAAGCAGTTGCGCGTCTACGCGAAGCCCGCCCCGCCGGGCAGGAAGCCGTCGGAGTCGCTGCAGGTGCCCATCCTCGCCGAGCCGGCCCGCGCACCTCCGGGCGCGCGGCGGCGGGCGGCGAGGGCACGCCGCTCAAGAAGGGGTGGCACGCCACCAAGACGGGGGACGGCCGCACCTACTACTACAGCGACGGGGGTGAGACGTCGTGGGAGCGGCCGGGCGCGGAGGGCCTCGCCGTGTGAGGCGCGAATGTGGGGTGGGAGAGGGTGCGGGTGGGGTGGGATGGGGGGTGTGGGGGGGACTCAGGCGCCTTTGTTTCTTTCGTTCGGGGTTCATGCGGGCATCTCATCTTGTTGGTCGTTGGAGGGAGCGCCCTGGAGATGAGAGGGTCGCAGCCGGGTGTAGGACGTAGACGGCGACTTAGACCAGAGAAGCTTCGAAGTATTTCGAAGTCCTATCATCAAGGTAGGTGCTCGTCCTCCGGCTCGTGCCGCTCCAAGCTTGGCTGCCTCTGGACTGGCCTCAGCCCGAGAGATGAACACGGAAGACAGCCGTTCAGTCTCCCTGCAGAGACTCCTCTCCTTATGCGCGTCCGACATCATGCCGCGTCGGACATCCTGCAGAGACTCACATGACGTTCTGCCAGTAGCCGTCGCCGTCAACGACTCGCCTAGCTCGCCACTCACGAAGAAACTGACCCACAACAAACCTGCTGACCCAAACGACCAACACCCGCAGCCAGTCGTGCCTCGCTTTCGTCGCCGGACTCAGTTGTGCATCGCTTTCATCGCCCTTGCATTTGTGCTGGTGATTGCGAGGTCGGCTGTGCAGACAATCGTTGGCAATTCCGTGTTGAAGCTGGAAACCTTCAGCCTCGCGGCTGGCGACGGAAGCTCGCTGCTCGTCGAGGCGACAGGCGTTCTCGACCTGATTCATCTTCCTGTGAGCTGCAGCATAACGGAGGCCAGCCTCGACGTCATGCACGGTGGTGGGGTGGTGGGCCGGTTGGAGGTGGGTCGGATTTCACTCGACAGAGGCGGTGCGGTGCCAATCACCATCGCCGGCCCAATGGCTGTGCCGCTCGGGCTCGGTCCACTCCAGGCCCTGAGCGCTGCGGTGGTGCAGGAGTCGGAGCTCGAGCTCGACGTGGCTGGATGGGTGGACGTGCATGTGCCACTGCTCGGCCACTTTCGCCAGCTCTCACTTGTGAAGCGGCTACACCTCAGAGGTGCGGGGGGACTCGACCCTCTGATCAACTCGTTCGAGCTTCAGCCAAACCAAGGCAACGGCACCGTCGCGCTGTCGATGGCGGTGCGCATCCGGAACCCGTCGTCCTTCCAACTCCTCTCCATCGGCGTGCTCGACTTCTCCATCCTGACAAGCGACGGCACGGCCTTCGCAAAGGTTTCGACGGTCGGACCCGTCAGCATGCGGAGAGGAGTCACCTCACTCTCGCTTACCGGGCATCTCGCCGTCCCCGACGAGGAGTCGGATGCGTTTCGCGCGGTGCTCCATGACTACGTGTCGGGCAGGTCGTCGACAGGGTTGACCGCTGTCATCACCGCCGCCAGCGAGCCGCTGTTTGATGCCGCGCTCTCGTCTCTGCGCCTCAACACGTCGCTTCCAGGCCGCCCAGGCGGCGCGCACTTTTTCGACGAGATCGCAATGTCGCTGGACGTCCCGCAGGCGCTCACTGGCTTGGTGACGAGCAAGCTGGTCAACCCGTGGGGCGACGCAGTCGTCCACGCCTCCGCGGCCTGCCGCGTATCCAACCCGTTCAACGTCTCGGCTTCGGTCCAGGCAATCTCGATAGGCATCGTCTACGGCGGCTCCAAGGTTGGCTCCGTCACGATGCCGTGGCTCGACCCGCCGCTCGCACTCGCGGCCTTCTCGCGCCGCCCGTCGGACCGCGCCTTCCCGATCGTTCTGCGCGCGCCCGCCACCACCCTCAACACGCTACTCCTCGAGCTGCTCGCAAAGGGCGCAGTGACGGTGGGGCTCGACATCTCTCTCGACCTCAGGGTCGGTGTGGTGGGGCGGGGCACGGGCAGCGTGATGCAGATCGCGTATGCGGAGCCCGAGGTAGCCGTCCGCGCCTCTCTCGGCGGAGGTGGAACGGCGTCCGCGGCGTCCGCGGTCGCCGGAGCGACGTCGACAGCTGTGCAAAAGGGCGTGGCTAGCCCCGCCGCTCGCTTGCTCGAGAACAGAATCAGGAGCGAGCAGGGTGGCGGGGACACATACTCGTACGGCGGCTGGCTCGGCTGAGCCGGAGCGCTGCACATCTGCATCGTCAACTCAGCCGATTACGTTCGGGCGTGTTCGTTGTCGATGTTGTCTCTCTCCATATGTACACACTTATACAGTTCACCAACCCGCCGGACACCGTCTCGCGAAGCCTGCGGCTTGGTTCCGTGGATCACGCTAGAAAGGGGAGTGCGACTAGCGCACCACTTGTCGCGACTAGGTTGCTGGTTGGGCCGGCTCCCGCATTCCGCGGATCCGCGCTGATATACTGCATACATCGATAGCTGGAGTGTCAACAAGTAAAAATGCGGCCAACGCAAGTTAAAGTGCACCCTTCGTCGGCAAGAGTGCAGCCACCCTGCATCGCGCCGACCCGCGACCGCCGCCCGCCGCACGTCGCCGCCCGCCGTCACGCTCCTACCAGCAGCGGCAAGCCCACCGAGAAGAGGTCGAGGGTGGGGTCGAGCTGCCTGCCCAGCCCCTCGAGGACGACGATCGCGCAGACGAGGGTCGTGAAGACGGGGTCGGGCTGCACGTGGTGCGTGCGCACGAGGCTGGTCACCTCGAGCAGAACCTCGCCCACACCTTGAGGTGGCGCAAGTTGAAGGCGCCGCGCTCGCCCGCGCGCGCGCTCTCGACGAGATTCCTCATCCCGCGCCGGAAGGCGGCGGGGTCGTCGCAGCGCTGCTCGCGCGCGTGGCGCAGCATCAGGTCGCCCGCGAGCTCGCCTAGCCGAGATGCAGCCGAGATGCAGCCGAGATGCAGCCGAGATGCAGCCGAGATGCAGCCGAGATATGCAGCCGACATGCAGCCGACATGCAGCCGAGATGCAGCCGAGATGCAGCGGAGACACACCCGCGCGCTCGTCTAGCAGAACGCGGAGTGGAGGGAGAGGGAGCGGGCCAAAGGCGCGGGAGGCGGGGCGAGGAAGGGGGGAGGGGGGGAGGGGGGGCGAGTCGCACCGTCGCCCTGCCCGATGGCCTTGAAGAGGCTGAGGAAGTTGCGCCGGTCCCGCTCGGTCAGCTCGACGACTGGGCGGTGGAGGCGCGCAGCCTTGACCAGGTAGTAGAGCCAGAAAAGCATACTGGCCAGCAGCGCCTCGGCAAGCAGGGTCGAGACGAGCAAGATGGCGTTTAGACAGGGTTCGTGGCCTGAGGAGTGGTTGCGTGAGTCTCTTTCACACAAAAACACAACCACGGACCCAAGTGCCAAGACGCACAAGCTCAGACAGTCGAGAAAGGGATAGACCGCAACGACAGTCTCTTTCACAGCCTTGTTATTGAGAAGAAAATACGTCCTGTGGCGCTGTGCGCTGGTCTATGATTCACACGCCTCCAGCCAGCAATCAATTACGGAGGTGACTTTGTAGTGGATGTGCTTCCTAAGAAAGAAAAAATAAAACTGACACTTCAAGGAACGCCGTGTGTATGTATGTAGGAAGGTGAAGAACAGAGGCGAGCTGGTCGACGCCTCGACGCGGTCGTGGCTGTCGCTGCAGGCCCAGCGCATGTCAGTCGCGCTGCAGCTCGCGGCGGCGGAAGAGATTGCGACCGAGCTCAGGCTCGCCGCGGCGTCGGAGGACGCCGCCGTCGCCTAGACTCCCCTGCGTCACTACGTGCCTCCCCGTCTTTGTAGCCTGGCGTTTGTGCCCCGTTTGTGCCGCGTCCCGTGCCCCCGAGTTCATTTTATAAAGGTGAAGAACAGCCAGGCTCGGACTGGACACCAAAGCTCACCGTTTTCTTTTTCTCACGCACGATGTCTGCCCCGCCGCGCCGCTCGCGCCGCTTGCGCCGCCTCGCCCCCGCCGCCACTGCCGCCCCCTCGCCAGACACGCCGCCGCCCGCCCGCCTCCTCGACCTCCCCACGGAGCTCCTCGAGCGCGTCCTCTCTCGCTGCGACCCCGCCGACATCGCTCGCGTCGCGGCCGTCTCGCTCCTTTTCCACGCCTCGCTTGCGGTGGAGGCCATCCGCTTGCGGGCGCAAGAGCGCGGCTATGAGCTGCCGGCGCTGCCAGAGGGCGAGAGCTGCGCCGTGCGGTGGCTGTGCTTTATGGCGCTGCTGCGCGAGTCCAACCCGCCGGCGAGGGCGGCGGCAGGCATGCAGCACAGCCTCTTCATCGACGGCGAGGGGCGGCTCTCGTCGTGTGGCTCAGCAGCGGACGGCGAGGAGGACGAGGAGGAGGAGGACGACGAGGTGGACTTTCCAGGCCTTCTCGGTCACGGCGAGGGCGTGCTGCGGCTCAACACGCCGACCCGCCTCCCGCCGACGCTGGGTGGCGAGCGCGCCGTGAGCGTCTCGGCTGGATTTTTTTCCAGCCTCGCCCTCACCGCCGACGGCGCCCTCTGGAGCTGGGGCAGTGGAGCCTCTGGCAAGCTGGGCCACGGCGACGAGCAGGACCAGCTGCTGCCCAAGAAGGTCGAGGCCTTTACTGGCCGGCGCGTCGTCGCTGTCTCGGCTGGATGCAACCACAACCTCGCGATCACCGCCGACGGCAACGTCTGGAGCTGGGGCAGTGGAGGGAACGGCCGGCTGGGCCACGGCGACCGGCAGCGCCAGCCGCTTCCCAAGAAGGTCGAGGCCTTCGCTGCCCAGCGCGTCATCGCTGTGTCGGCAGGAGGCGACCACAACCTCGCCATCACCGCCGACGGTGCTGTCTGGAGCTGGGGCTATGGAGCCTGGGGCCAGCTGGGCCACGGCGACTACCAGAACCAGCTGCTTCCCACGAAGGTCGAGGCCTTGGCTGCCCAGCGCGTCATCGCTGTGTCGGCTGGGTGCGACCACAACCTCGCCATCACCGCCGACGGTGCTGTCTGGAGCTGGGGCTATGGAGCCTGGGGCCAGCTGGGCCACGGCGACGAGCAGCGCCAGCTGCTGCCCAAGAAGATCGAGGCCTATGCTGGCCAGCGCGTCGCCGCCGTGTCGGCTGGGAGCGGCCACAGCATCGCCATCACCGCCGACGGCAGTGTTTGGAGCTGGGGCTTTGGAGCCTTTGGCAAGCTGGGCCACGGCGACCGGCAGGACCAGCTGCTGCCGCAGAAGGTCGAGGCCTTCGCTGGCCAGCGCATCGTCGCCGTGTCGGCTGGAGTCGCGCACAGCCTTGCCATAATCGCCGACGGTGCCGTCTTCACCTGGGGCGAGGGCGAGTACCGCTGCCTAGGCCACGGAGAGGACTTGTCGAACCAGCTGCTGCCCAAGAGGGTCGAGGCGTGGGCTCAGTGAGAAGGTCGGGGCTCTGGCGCCGCTGGTGTGCCCGGAGACATGTAGCATGCAGCACACAGTCTGCATAGAGAGCATCTGCACCATACAGACCCTCTCTGCACACACAGTGCACTCTTGGGTGGGATTGTGTATTCCGCACCTGCATTGTGCATTCCGTACCACTCTTTTTTTGGCCCCTCCTACCTATTTGGGGGGCGGGTTTTTGCATTCTGCACCTGCATCCTGCATCGGTACTCTGTCCGCTCTCTCCTGGCTGTGGGTGAGTTTTTGGATTCTGCATTCCTGCATCCTGCAGGTGCAGCGCTGCACACGTCCTGCACGTCTCTCACAGACTGTAGCTCTTTGGGCCCGCACGGCTTCTGCATTCTGCATTCTGCATCTGCATTCTGCATCGGGTGCAGCTCACAGCTTTGGGGCCGATTCTGCATTCTGCATTCTGCATCTGCATCCTGCGCATCGGGTGCAGACTGCAGTGGTGCGGAGTGCTTTTTGCGGGGCCAGAGATTCTGAAGGCGGTAAGGTAAACGTCTCCACACACACAAAGTGGTGGGGCAAGGGGGGGCGACCCTCGCATCTCCACGCCCGGACAACGGGCAGGAGCCCCACGGAATAAAAATGACAGATGCGAGATCACTCGAGATCACTCGAGATCCTCAGCACCTCAGGGCCGACGTCTGGCGCCCGGCGCAGCACATACACACAAGAGGCCCGCCGAACAGATCGACTGACAGATGGTCACATGCACGTAAAGACCGCCGTTCGTGAATGGAGAGGTCCCGTCGTCTCCCCACCTCGCTCGCTTGCGGCTCGGGAGCGAGCATACTTGCTCGCCCTCCTCTCCCTCTCCCTCTCCCCTCTCTGCGCCCTCAGGACGCTCATGGAAGAGGACACAAGCTGGCGCCAGCACCACCAAACGTGGCTGGCTGCCCCACGTGGACAGACACCGCGCCTTCCGCCTCTCTACTTGCCCTTCTTTTGCTCCGGCGGCTTCGAGATGCGCTCGCGCGCGCGCTTCTCCCAGACGGGGGTCGCGTCACGCGGCTTGCGGGTCACCTGCGCGTGAGAGGGGCGCGTGGGCCGAGGAG